AACCGGTTTGGTAGGTTTGACGAACCGGTTCTACCGAACTGGTGCAAACTGGCAGGAACCCACCTCTGGTTTCCTGCCTAAGGAGGGGTTTGGACTAGAAGACTTCCAAGGTCCCTTCCAATTCCAGTATTCTCTTATCTCTTTGCATTTGTTTATTTATTTTGATTGATTCATGCATCGGCCCATCTCACAAACCCAATTCTGGGAGGTTAATGGAGTGCAAAATAATAAGAAAAAAAACCCAAAAAGGCAGAAAGAGAAGAACAGAGAATGGTAGCCAACAGGGGTGAAATCAACTTACCGTTGCTACCGGTTCAGTAGCAATGTGAGAGACAGCATGCTTCCATTTGAGCACAATCTCGCTTGGTTGGACATGCCACCTCCACGCAGGACCCTCCACGCATACGCAGAGGGTCAAAAAAGGATGGGATGGCATTCGGGCAGGTGGGCGAAGCCTGCTACTCAGTGCGCCTGCAAAGGTAAGCGAACAGCGAAGGGGGGTGGAATCCGCTGTGCCCCGCGATTTACATTAGCAATTGAGAAAGTAGGAAATCCTGCTTTCTAGTTAATATAAATCAGGCATCACAGCTGATCATGGGGAAAGCATTTTTAGTATATTTTATGCTACCGGTTCGAGTGAACCGGTAGCATTTCTACTACCCGTTCCGGCGAACTGGTCCGAACCGGTAGCATTTCACCCCTGGCAGCTGAGCTTTTCCTTCTTATAATACTTGAATTTTTTTTCTTTTCTTCTTCTTCTTTACCTCCACAGACCTCATTTAGCCGTGAACAAATTAGGAATTTCGGAATCCTATGAGACCTACATCAGCCGAAGTTTCCAGGTCACCAAGGAAATTCTAAGTGAATGCAAAGCTAAAGGCAAGTATAATTCCTTTGGTGAAGTGGAGAACAGTAACATTAGATTAAGAGATACAGGCAGTCCTTCACTTAGCAACGCTTCATTTAATGACCGTTTATCATGGTACTGAAAAAAGCGACTTACAACCACTTTTCACACTTAACAACCGTTCCAGCATCCCCACGGCCACACGGTCAAAATTCAGATGCTTGACAATGGAATCTTATTTATGATGGTCGCAGTGTCCCAGAGTTACGTGATCCCCTTTTGCGACCATCTAACCAGCAAAGTCAATGGGGAAGCCAGATTTGCTTAACAATTGTGTTACTAATTTAACCCCTGCAGCGATTCACTGAACAACCAGGGCAAGCGAGGTCATAAAACGGGGTAGAACTTACTTAACAAGTGTCTTCACTTAGCAACCGAAATTGTGGGGCTCAATTGTGGTCGTACGTCGAGGACTACCTGTGTCTGTAACACTGCCACTCAAGATGCAGTAGGATAGGATTGTAAAGACAAGGGAGAAGGGGAAACCATCGTCCTGGTTTACGATAGGAAACTCATGACGCAGTGGAGGGACACAGTGGCTAAGACGCTGAGCTTGTCGATCAGAAAGGTCGGCAGTTCAGCGGTTCGAATCCCTAGCGCCGCGTAACGGAGTGAGCTCCCGTGACTTGTCCCAGCTTCTGCCAACCTAGCAGTTCAAAAGCACATAAAAAATGCTAGTAGAAAAATAGGGACCACCTTTGGTGGGAAGGGAACA